TACTCATTCATAACGTGTGCTTCTTTGGCACGGTGTGGCGGACATCATCCATGCGTGTGGTTCTTGTCGTGTTTGCGTGTGCCCGGGAGAGGAATTACTGACAGCGCTGCATCATTGTCACCTGCTTCGACGACTGCAGGAATGGGTAATGGGACCAGACCTAATTCAAGGGTAACTTGGGATGCGCTCCCTAGGGAAGGAAACAAGCACTTTGGTACAAGGGCAACAAAACCAACTAGTCGCCGAGCACACCACAATTGTAAACAAACATAGTGTTAGACACAAGGTGGCCAGAGTCGCTACCAGCATTGCTACAATTAGCGAATGTGTCTTCATTCGAAATAATTTTTATTAAATGGGAAGCATTTCTTAGCGAACTTCGGCGACTTTGAGCGTATCTATCTATCTAGCCGCCTACGACATTTAGCTCTCCTCGCTCTTTCGATAATAGTATCAGTACCTAACTTGATATGGCATGACATGACTGTATGACGAGCATAAGTGACAAGTCAAAACACGAAAATTATGACATCTATGTCATGAATGTCATGAGTTAGATTTTATGATCTTGTTGCTCTTGCGGTGATTTCGTTCACATGACATGTTGCAAAACTGGAATGGTATGAAATAATTGCATGGCGAACACAAGCGACAGACCCTAACATGTAAATCATGACATGCGTGTCATGTAACATGACCACATACCACGCTCATGATGCGCTCGCTACCGTTTCGATAGCTTCACTTACACCAAATTTGGTATTACGGGACGTGAATAAATGACAAAGGTATGATACTGGTGCAAACATGATAAACATGAGATGCGTGCCATGTAACAACATGACTACATGCTACGCTAATGATGCGCTCGTGGCCGTTTGGCCGTTTCGCTAGCTTCACATGTACGAAACTCGGTGTTACGTAACGCGAACTGATGGCATGGTACATTCAAACATTATAATCACGACATGCGTGTCATGTAACAACATGACTACATGCCACACTGATGATGCGCTCGCGACCGTTTTGCTAGCTCCACATATGCGAAATTTGGCAATACATGACGTCAATGGATGACGAAGGTATGTGGCTGGTGCAAACATGATAATCATGAGGTGCGTGTCATGTGAGAACATGACTGCATGACGCAGTCAAGGAGTCAATACATATTCTCGGGACGCGGTGCGCGTGCTCGTCAGCGTTCGTTTCGTCGCGTCACGCGGGTGTTGCCACGCCAAGCGCCGGTCCTTTCATATACTCGCATGCGCGCGCCACGCTGAGTTGCTTTGACGCATGCGCGTTCTAGCGCGTCCGACATCCCTCCGTCACGAAAAAAGGCAGACGCAGTGCTGTCTGGGTAATGCATCGGTGTGAAATGCAGCATTTCACTTAATTTTGCGCCGGTTGCCGTCGGGCCGTGCCGACTGACGCTGGTTGCGCCTGGCATCAGATTATAGAGCGTTCACGTTTTCCTAACGTAGCGTCGCTGTGCCCAGTGTTCGCGCATGTCAATGTTACGTTGTAGTATATTGGGTCCTTATGATACGCTCGTGGTGATTTCTCTAGCTTTACATACACCGAATTTGGTGTTACGTGACGTCAATAGACGACGAAGTAGCTCCACGTATACTAAATTGGGTGTCACGTGACGTGAAAAGATGAAGGTAAACGATACATCGAAAAACGATAATCATGAAACGGAAGTCATGTAGGGCACAATTTACCTCCACCTCGTAAAGTTGTGCTGATTTTAAAGTGACATATCAACCTTTCTCATTTGCGCTTCGCATATCATTGATTCCCACTATACGTGGGATCTGCCAATTTTTTTTAATGCTTTGTTGCCTTCAGACGTACTGAATATTGTGTTTTCGTAAAAACCGCATAACAAAGATTCACAAAAAATGCACCTAGCGATAAAATCGGGATACTTCTGTGAAACTCAAACAGTGCCGGCTGAGCCCCCTCGCGGCAGTTATTGCAACCTTGTCATTGCCGTGTGACCCTGATACAACTCCATCTCCGTTAAAGTACGTAGCGGAGCTTTACGTTGACGGAGTTAAACAGAGTTCGGCGGTGTCCGTGTGACAGGTGTTACGAGTGCAACTTCCTGTGTTACTAGGGCAACAGACTAGATCTCAAGGTCGAAGAAAAACCAGCCTTTCACGGCCAGTTTAAAAAGCAACCTTTTAGTGCAAAAGCTAAAACTTGGAGGCCACGCAGCTCTCCACTTTCTGCTGGCGCCACCATTGAAAGTGTCATATTGTAAAACAACAACAGCGCGCTACTACGACGATATGACCCAACCGGCGAAAAGTCATTCCTAGGATATGCGAGAACTTAGTGACCCGAAGCGTCGAGTGGAAGAACGGGTACCACTTGCGTAATTCCAGCCACGTCTCCGTTCACAGATAAAACCGAATGTAAGAAATGGGCTTGGCAATAAAAGATTGCAGCTTCACCGGACGGCGTTCTCGTTTTTATGACTTGCATTTTTAAATAGGGCTTACATACACGTGGGGATAAAATAAAGCAAAACAGAAAGGTGGATGTGTGTTGGCACGTCGAAGAATGAGCCGCTGGGTATTGACTTCTTTAAAGGGCTTTTACAAAAAAGCAGTAAAAGGGTTATGGGGCACGTATGAAAATGGGGCAGGTAAAAATGTTAGTAGTGCGCTACGAATGGCGTTCAATTCGCAAGTGCGATTTATATGCAAATGTGGGGCGCTGCAGCTTTGAAATGGTGTAATGCAGAAAGCGTCAGAATAGTAGGACCTCAAGAAAATAAAAAATTAACGGTAATGAAATAACTTCTTTATTACCAAGCCAATAATGTCTCAATCTCAATAATTAGTATTAATTGTGCGTATTGCAAAGTAGTTAACTACGGTGATTTTATTGTGTGTCTATTTCTACCAGAAAAAAATATTTCTAACTTTGGCGTACAAACGTTGCAAGCAAACCATTACGTGGCCTAATGGTGCTTTTAGGGCATTTCTGCGATAGAGGGTCATATCGTGGTGACAAGTTAGTCTTACGAATATTTGCTTATTTGTGAAAATGTTGGAAGGTGCGGCATGTAGTACAATTAAACTGGGGTAAATGCTGACGCTGAATTTCGAATGCATTGATGTTATTGCTAACAATTAGGAACCGAAACCATCGAAATATTAAGCGGAACATATTTTATAACAACGTCACATGTTGATCCCCATTTCTATATGTGTGCACTTTAACTGCTCGTTGTGGCTGTTACCTGTTCTCTGATTTATATTGAAACCAAAAATGTGTTTATGCGTTTAAAATATTTCTGCCGATTCCTGCTCTTGGGGAATCCTTTCATAATTGGCATTGTGTATAAAAATGCCTTTCGCAGGACTGCTTCAACGAATGTTAATGAATCACTTCACAGCGATTGTTCCTCTTTATTGTGTGTGTTGGCCATTGGTTTCTTTTGACTTCACATGAACACGAGCCTATACCACAGAGAAAACGAGGGAAGTGCCGTTGATATGCGGAAGCCCTACAGAACAGTAACGCTTTTAGCTATTTCGCCAATGTGCGGATAAGGAAGTAGAAAAGAATGTTTAGGCTTGAAGCAGTACACAGCGGGCCAAAGAGCAACATTTGAGGTAGGCTTGTTTATCAAGCATTCTTTATCATTCAATTTTCATTCAGCTCAGGAGCAGCGCACTAAGCGGCAATCACTGTCACCACCACTAGATGCCGCGGGGATCTTCAGCTGCTCGCAAGCCGCTTGAAGTAATTATGCCGAGGGCCGCGTCTCATCTGATGCACGTAACATCATCAAAAGACTAAGCGCTGCACATTCATATATCGGCGTAAATTGGGTTCCTGAAAACGAGTGTCTACAGGTAAATGAAGCGTCCCATGCCGCTGCCCGCGAGCACATCGACCGGGCTGCACCTCTGCTCATAGGATATCCGACTCTTGATTGTAGCGATGGAACCTCTACGAAACACATATCATTCGCTATTACAACAATAGAGGCTGGAGCAGCGGGCGCATCCTCAATTTCTTCGAAAATTGATAGAAGAAGGTAGCAGGATCACCCGACACCTTTAAAGCAAGATGCGAATACCCTGAACATCATTGCACCACCTCTGCCCAACAAAGCAGCGCTACCTTAGCATACTTGTTCCTGGAATGCCAGTACCTTTCAAACAGTGACATGCAGCCGCAGAGAGACGTGAGCCAAGGGCGAAAAATGATTGACAACCACCTAATTGGAACTTGGGAGACCAAACCCGTTCTCGAAGACCTGAGAGACGAGTGAGAACTTGCCACCAGGGACAAGAGCCGGAGCCAGAGGGTTCATGTACTAGGAAATCCTCCCGCCTTACGGTGATAGCTGGTATAACTCGGTTTTAAAATGAGCCTTTATTTCTCTTTCCTCGCTAACTTTACCTTTCCATACAGTTTCACCTTCTTCGTATAACGGCATATTGTTACTGATATCTTCTTTTTTGCAGTGCAGAGAAGCTCTACGTTAACTCTGAAAAAGGAATAATAGCGATGATCGAAAAATAATAGTTATCAGGATTTTGTAAAAGTGACTACTAATACTGCTTTAAACGAATGATAGAATCAATGCACTGGTCGAATAATAAGAACAGAGTATAAAATATTGTCATACTTTATTTTCTAAATTTGAAAGAGAAATGGGCAGTTGGGAGTTTATCCTTGCACGATGTCTTGAAAGTGGTACAACGATGGCAGTTTCTTCATGTGCTCCGTTCTCGGTGGACTCTGAAATATAATAAAAGTGAAAGATTTATGGCGTACTGTGCAGCTTTTGATTTTGAAACAACGGACTACAATTTCTGCACAAATTCTAAAATCAGTGTCCCACAGCGTTTTGTTCATTAATTAAAAAGTTAAGAAAAAAGATCGCTGCACTCTCATAAATTGCTGTGAAGCTAATGCGCTGCTCTCTTACCTAGCCAAAAAGTACAGCTTGAGTGACGCCCAAAAAGTGGTTAGGCATAAAACGACTTGTACTCACACTTCTTGTGAATCTTGGCAGTGTAACCGAAGGCGTCGAGTCCGTATCCGTAGTTGTGGCCGTACACGGGCAGGCCCTGAGTGTACCCCAGAGCTCCGACTCCGTATCCGTAGGCCGGAACGTGCGCGACAGTCGAAACTGGAGAGTGAGCTACTGTGGAGACGAGTGGCCTAGTGTGGACGGTGTGCTGATCGATCGCGTGGAACGGGTCGGCTTTGGTCACCCGCGTCACTCCAGTGGATGTGTGGTGCACGGCGGCGACAGAAGGAGCAGCGTGAACGGTGGTGACTGTGGCTGGAGCAGCAGCAGTCAATACTGGACTGCTGGTCCCGTAGACACCGGTGAACACTGGTGATGACCTGTGCCCGGTAATCTTGGTCACTGCTGGAAATCCGTGGACCACAGCGGTAACAGCTGGTCCGGTGGTCAAGACTGGGGAGTTCTGGTACACTCCAGTGACGACTGGGGAGCTGCGGTATGTGGCCAAGGCAGGGGCATTGTGATATGTGACGCCTGTCACCTTAGTGAGGCCAGTGGCAGTTGGAACGGCGCGAACAGTGCTAGCTACGGCTGGAGCACTGTGGTAGACCTTGGTTGTGTATGGGGCTGTGCCGTAAGTAGTAGCTACGTTGGGCAGACCAAGTACAGAAGACGTGTACACCGGGGAAGTTGAGTACTGGCGGGTGATGACTGGGGCCGAGTTGTAAGTGGCGAAAGCTGGACTAGCTACAACCGCTGGCGCAGTCTGGTATGTGTTGAATTTGGTGACTTTAGCGTAGGATGCCGGGACAGTGTGGACGGTGGTCGCCACGCTTGGTGCATGTGCCACAAGAGTGGCCGGCGCCGCCTGGTAGTAAGGTGCGACGACAGCGCCACTGCGGTAAGAGGTTGAGTACGAAGGAACCGTTGCAAGGGCAGCCTTTACTGGAGTAGAATGGTAAGTCGAGGCGACGTGGGTGATTGGAGAGGATATGACGGCTGGGGCAGAGCGTATCGGGTACGCTCCATACGGCGTGTCGTACTTGTAGCCCAGACGGACAACCCTGTACGGTGCATTGGCGGCAATCGCACTGGCAGCTAGAGTCAGAAGGAGGGTGACTTGAATCTGCAAGGAGGAAGTGAAATAGTATTCTCAGACTCGAACATCAATTCAAAAGGGAGTGTAACAATTTTACAGTGGAAGTAATTATCATTTAAAAATAAGTGGATCGATAAGGGATATAAATGCCTCGTTTTTCTAATTCTTTCTTGTTGAACGAAATACTCAGCTTCAAGTGAAATTTGTGGCCAATGCCATGGATGCGGCATATCAGTTAATATACGAATAATTATTTAGTGCTCAGCCACGTAGCGTATTCTTGAAAATTTTACATTCCGAAAGCAATCTGACGCATTATCCTGTTTGTTTTCTCGGCATAAATTGCTATTTTAAAATAATGATATTAGGGCTCGCTTACACGTAGCACCACGAGTTTTTTCCAATAATTTATCTTTCATGTCATAAATTCATATTGGCCGAATGCTCCAACTGTAGGATACTTTTTGACAATTGTTACATTTTGATAGCGGTGAATGAGCGCAGTAAGAAGGTGCACCTTCAAGCGGGCTTTTGGCAAATGTAACAGAGGCTGCGTACGTTCTGCACTTCGCTGACTCCGCATCTTGACGGTGGTTGAATGGTGGTGGTCCGAGTACCGTGCAATGTCAGTGCACGTAAGGAACCACCAGACGGTATAAATTCCCGAGACCCTCGACGACAGCGTCTCTCATAATAATAACGTGGTTTTGGTACGTAAAACACGAGATGATATTATTATATATGATAATAGGCAACTTCAGAATAGCACACGCAAAAATGAAGTTTATTGCGCACGCTTGCTGTTTCGGTAAGTTATCTGGAGATCGCAAGAGGATAGCGTAGGACGCATGCGAAGTAGCGACAAGTACTACCACAACACTTCCCGCATCTTATTCTAAAACTCCCTTATCCGAGGCCCATCCTGTCATTGCAGCCTTTATTTAGAGATAGCCCTCTTTGGAAGAATGAATAGTTGATTAGAAGGGCGCAGGTTAGTTATGGACTGCAATTGAGGGGAAATGCTTGAGGCCAATTTACTTAAATTTAGGGGAATATGACAAAAATCCCAAGATGGTACAACTTGGTGGAGTCGTCCATTAAGGCGGGCCTTATAAACATGTGTATCTGGCAGATAACAATCATATATATCAGTGCTGTTACAATAAAAATATTAAACTTTAGCTATAACTTAAAATGCAAATGCCTTTACCGCTGTTATACCTGAAGCGTGCACGCTCGGACCAATGTGCTTAAATCGAAGAAGCGGACTAGTTAGCTGGTGGGTCACAGCATTCAAATAAAAGTGCCCAACATAAAGCTAATAAAAATGTGCCTAGAAATTTCTAAGCTTCCTGTGCTGCATATACATGTACCATCTTTATTCATCCTTATAACTCATTGACGTTTTTACACGGCTAGCTGATATTAAGTATGTTTTTCACATAGAACAAGGTGAATCGCTGAAGGCATCGTGATACTTACTGCGGCCATGGCTGGTTGCGGTGCCTATTTAGTGGAACAGTGAGGCTGATACTGTTACTCAGGCGACTTTAAGTCCTTTTTATAGCTGAGATGTTTTCACCGAATGTGCCCACCCCAGGTGTAAGGGATGGGAAAGGGAAGATTTCTTCGATGCAAATAGTGGGCTAATGCACGCATGAAAACAGAAAAATGAGAAACTTACATGTTTACGACCGTTTTTTTTTACACTTCATTGGCCTCCGCCATTGAAGTACTGGAAACGAGATCGATGGTAGAGAGATACCGCAAGAGCACGTCTTTGGTTACACATACTTTCTTTCTCACTGTCGAGAGCGATGAAGGAAAACAGCGCAGGGCTTTTTCGTGTTGAACAGAATTACGCAATGTAAAAGGAGACCCACCGGGAAACGCCAGACGAACATCTCTTGGTTGAAATTTCTTTTTTTCTTCATAAATGTTACCTTGAAAACTCATGCAGTATAGAAAAAAAAGAGAGTAAAATGCACAAGCTGAGAGACACGTCAAGAAGGAAGCGCGAATGCGGTTCCAAGTGAGTGGTGAAGACATAAAAATTCAAATCACATGTGCGAGCGCTAAGGGCGAACTTGTTGACTTAATAATTGTGCTGAAAAGACTATATCGTCAAATAGAGTGGCTGCTTTTTCCAGAAGAAACATCGCCTGATTTACAACCTTCATTAGGTGTTGTATAGAAGCTTGGGTAGAACCACTCGCAACGTTATCTCAACACAGACGAAGCTAATGATATGAGAATTAGTTTTTAATACGAATGTGCCCGTCAGTATAGGCCATCAGAGGTAGCCGACTACTTCATTTCGCTTAGCAAACTATCACTCCTGGGCTGAAAGTTAGCGTGCGGTAGATGAACTACGCTGACAACATCAATCAAAGTCTTCTTGATAATACAAGTGTCTGAATGTTGTCAGAAAAATGGTTGTGGAATTTGGGAACAAGCTCGTAACACTTGTACGTCATTATTAAAGTGAAGGTGCTTAAAAGACTGCAGCATTTAAATGTATTCCAAGGAAAAAAAAACAGTCTTAAAGATGGGGTGTGGCTGCCGCTAATGTTTTGACAGGCGAACTTGTCTGCCTCATGGCGGCAACTGCTAGCTCCATCTATACCCAGTTAAGGCTTTTAGCTTACCCTCTGCCTAGTAGGAATAAAAAAATATTACAGCTGATTAATCACTATTCTCTGGTTAGAAATGACGTGCCTCAGTATTAACAGTCTTTCAAAATACACAACTCTCTTTCTAGGGTCACTATACTGCCTTGAGGGGGTTTTGAGTGTCGTGGGAGATTCACGTTAACTCTCCAATAGAGAGTTAGCTTGTAATGTTAAAGTATTTATGCTTGTGACAAGTCGCCAATCAATAAAGGGAGTAGAAGGGCTCTCTTTTTTTTCCTAGGCACTGCAGTCCGCAATCACTTACTGGGAATCTGTTAGAACTTCATAGAAATTCGATAACTCAGGTACAATTGGGTACCATTTAGTAAAACGGTTCGGTATATTGGGTAAAAATAGCGATGTACTCCTCAGTGAGTGTTCTACGTTTGCAAAAGCACTCAGGTTGCTAAAGGGTGCTTGGCCATTTTATCCCATTCAAGTCGACGAGAACTTACCGAAACGAAACACCCCTTCATCCTTAGTAAATATACAAGTACGTTTTCAATTATTTTAACAAATTTATCTGCATAGACTCCTCGCGTAGTCACATTCATGTCAAAATATGAGGCAATTTGTGTTTTCTAAAATATGCTTGCATCACTGCCATCTAAAACGCACGTCCAATTCTGTCCCCAAAATGGAGTGCATTGAGGGGGTCAAGATTTTAATTACTTACAACAAAGGTTATGTTGAATTACGCCAGGTGAAATAAAGGATTTGAACTGGCAATGCTCTCACGAAGTAGTCATCTTGCATGAAGATAAAAAATGGCAGCATATCCACGGAGTGAATGATGGAGAGTGGGGCGAAGCATTCGTCCATCCATGCGTCTGTCTGTGTGACCGTCCATGCGTCTGCTCGTGCGCCCGTCCCTGCGTTCATTCATGCATCCGCCCCTGCTTCTGTTCATGCGTCCATCCATGCATCTGTCTGTGTGTCCGTTCGTCCATCTATTCAACACTCCAAGTCCCACCATCTCGCATCTTTTTATCATATATTCCCCATATAGAAGCACCGCCATTCAGTGGACATTCCAAGGACTAAACGAGAGGTGGCACACGCACACTTTCTTACGGCTTGCGCTTCGGGTCTACTTCCCACCTTTAACCACTTCATGGTATATACTAGTTCATGGTATATACTAGTTCATTGTATTATGGCACTGCGGCCCAATGCTCGCTAGAGAGAGAGAGAGAAATAATTAAAAGGAAGAGACAGGGAGGTTAACCTAGACGAACTGGTTTGCTACCCTGTACGGGGGTGGGGAAAAGGGTCGGAAAGATGATAGCTATAGAGAGATATAAAATGAATTAGAAAAAAAAAACTCATGCACACACATTCAGGGAGTTCCAATCACAGTCGTTTGGACAGGCCGGTTGAACGCAAGAAGCGCATGAGCGCCTTCACAGCCTTCTTCTGCGACATAAAGTCCTGTCGGCAGCGCAGGAGTCTTTCTTCCGAAAGAGGCTGGTTGTCCAGTTCATCTAGTGCATTGCAGAGTGACTGTCTCTGCGAGCAGTATTGTGGGCATTCACACAGAATGTGCCAAGTTGTTTCATCCCTGCCACAATGGTCGCAGGCAGCAGTGTCAGCCATTCCTATTCGGAACGCATACGCTTTGGTAAATGCGACGCCCAACCATAATCTGCACAGCATAGTAGCGTCTCGTCGGCGTAATTCCGGAGGAATTCGAAGACTGAGAGTTGGGTCTAAAGTACCTAACCGTGCATGGAAGAAATGTGACTCGTTCCATTGTGACGTGGTGTGCTTGCGAGCAAGCATGCGGAGTTGCCGTGCAGCGTCAGTTCTGGAAAGCGGAATTGACATTTCATCACTTTCAGTATGGGCAGAGCGGGCTGCTCGATCGGCCCGTTCATTGCCAATTATTCCACAATGACTTGGCAGCCATTGAAAGGCTATTTCATGTCCTTCCTCAATGAGTTGGTGAGTCTTTCCTGCAATCTCAAATACCAGCTGTTCGTACGGGCCGTGGCGTAAAGGTGATAGAAGGGATTGCAGTGCCGCCTTTGAATCACTGAAAATTGTCCATTTTTGTGGCTGTTGATCTCTAATGAATTGCAATGCGGCACGAAGAGCTGTGAGCTCTGCTCCCGTTGATGTCGTAAGGTGGGAGGTCTTGAATTTTTTCGTCGTGTCTTTTATCGGTATAACAAATGCTGCCGTTGAACTCTTCTGTAAAACAGAGCCGTCAGTGTATACGTGTATACAGCCTTGATACGTCTCGTACAACAAGAGCAGAGCAAGCTGTCTAAGAGCAGGTGACGACATATCTGCTTTTTTCTTGATGCCAGGTATAGTTAGCCTGATATTAGCCTGAGTCAGGCACCAGGGAGGAGTCAAAGGCCTGGCGGCGGGTGTGAAGTATGTTGGCAAAGAATCGCGGTATGTGGTGACCTTTTGGCAAAATGACGAACGTGGTCTGTCTGCTGGTAAAGAGGCTAGGTGGTGGCAGGGTGTCCGAGCAATTTGCCTTATATGTGTCCGGAGTACCTCAACGTCGATATGTGTTGTGATGAGGTGGTCACCGGCAATAGCTATAGTAGCCATTGTTGGCGCACTACGAGGCAAGCCGAGGCAAATCCGGAGTGCCTGGGACTGAACACTCTGTAGCGTTCGAAGGCTCGTTTTGCTTGCATTGGTCAATACCGGTAAACTATACCGCATGAAACCGAGAAAAAGTACTCTGTACAGCTGTAGCATTGCACTGGGAGACATTCCCCAAGTCTTCCCTGCAAATAACTTCAGTATATTACAGATGTCCATTAACCGTTTCTTCATGTACGAAACGTGATCGCTCCATGATAGATTCCTGTCAATTATGACGCCCAAAAACTTGTGCGATCGAACGTATTGTACAGTTTGACCATTGATGCTTATAGTGTACTTATCCATAGGCTTTCGTGTAAAAGCTACGAGGGCGCATTTCTCGGAAGAAATTTCCAAGCCTCGATTTCGGAGGTAGTGTAATGTTTCAGTGGCAGCTTTTTGAATTCTTCCTCGTAACTGCAGGCGTGTTACAGCCGATGCCCAAATGCAGATGTCATCTGCGTACATTGATAGCCTGACCGTGCTTGGCAGATGCTCAGTGAGAGCAATTAACGTAAGATTGAACAGCACAGGGCTGAGTACGCCACCCTGGGGGACGCCACGGTGGCTGTAATGTGGAGAGGTTGGACCGTCTTCAGTGCTCACAAAGAAGGATCGCATTGACAAATAACTACGTATCCAGCGATACATCCGACCACCTACTCCTATATCTTCGAGAGCGGTGAGAACAGCTTCATGCGTAACGTTGTCATACGCCCCTTTGACGTCTAGGAACAAAGATGCGCAGAGACGCTTACGGCCTTTCTCGTGTTGGACATAAGTGACCAGGTCGACTACGTTGTCAATCGATGCTCGACCACGCCGAAATTCTGCCATGGCATCTGGGTAGATGTTGTTACTCTCCAAGAACCACTCCAGGCGTCCCAGGATCATCCTCTCCATAACTTTGCCTATACAACTGGCCAATGCGATCGGACGATAAGATGAGAGGTCCAACGGTGACTTGCCTGGCTTCAGAAGTGGAACTAGGCGACTTGTCTTCCAGCTTGTTGGGAGCGTTCCATCTTGCCAGGATTTGTTGTACAACTCCAAAAGGAGGATTCTCGCGCGTTCACCCAGATGACACAAGGCCCTATAAGAAATTCTATCGGGCCCTGGTGCCGACGTGCGTCCACACAAAGCTAGTGCTGCTCCGAGCTCCACGATGGAAAAAGGCATATCCATGCGGGAATCCAGTGTTTGTGGACAGTTAGTCGAGGGCAATAGGCTATTGGGCGCTGCGAGTGGCCCAGATACTCTGG